CAATTTTAATTTTCCGAAATTTCGTGGACGCAAGTCCATTGTATTTATCAGTAATAAAGAGTTAAGTGACCTCTCCTGAACCGCGGCGTAAAGCAATTTGGATATGCACAATTTTCTATACGCATCTTTCTGTAATAGACGGAGGCGAACTTTGAAAAATGAAATAATGTAAAGATAACGTCCACAATTACGAGTCAAACAGTCTATTCTTCTCGAATAAACAACGATAAGTGTATTTAAACATTTTCACGTGAGAGTCGGGCCCAAAATGATGACTGCTGATGCAAACCATCTAGTTAATCCTCCCAAGATAAATTTTCCTAACTCAACAAGAGCACACTTGGAATTTTTAAATAACTTATTGATGGGTTCTATATAAGTACAGAAGGCGGCATCATAATAATGTAACGAGGCTATACATAATTCGCATTTAAAATGTAACTATCTCGTTTACTGACCAACAATCTTCTTCTTACTATACAAGCGTAGGAGCATAATCGTACCTGCACCGTACTGTTGTCTCTAAACTCTTCAGACCCCTTCCAAAACGAGAATTTTTCAGACATTACAAGAGGACCATTTGAAGTTCTCTCATTGGCGTAGATTTTTTAAATAAGCAAAATTATTCACTAAATAAGGCAAATTAACCGGTCATAATAAGTAAGGGAGTATTTTTAACCAAGGATAGTATGGCAAGTGGGAGTATGGGGGTTAAATCCTTCTGAGAAAGAAAAGAAGACCTATTTATAAATTAACTAATAGAGCTTCGGAATTCTTCAAAATCTTTCCCGCAATTCGGCTCATTCTAAACTGTATGTTACGTTTCCTACGCTCTAATTTTCCACTTCGACTTGAGTTTGTCTTTGTTTATCTAGTATGTTTTCTATCTAACTCGTGCCTCAATCAACTATCAGGCTAGTCGGCTTTTGTATTACATTGTGTTGCTTTCCTGTACCATTTTTTTTCTTTGTAATTTTATCTGTTCTGGCTGCTTATTGCTCGTGAGGGGTCACTAATTGTGACTTTTAACCTCGTAGTTTGCAACAATTTCCAACGTAGTATTAAGGACTTTTGTGTATGCTTTTGATAAGAAAAAAATTGTGCTTTTAGAAAATGCAGATGAGCGTTGGGCTCGACCGCAATGCAAGTCAAGGAGGAAAATCTGGAGAATGGGATTGTGCTTCAAATATGGAATTAATTTGCTTTTCTTGTAAGTCAGCCGAGAAATATCTGCGATTTTCAACCCAAAAAAAAAGTTGGAATAGGCTCAAAGACATAATTGACGCTGTACATTTTAATTCTTGCGGTATTCTGCTTCAAGTCGTCACCACGACAAATCGCCCTCATCAGTGCATCTTCTCCGCGATCGCAGTCAAAAAGAGGTTTTGTTTTGCGATGCCACCAGATGCTCGCAAAGGGTAGTGTTGCTTTGTCGAATACCAATCGAACCACCTGCAACTCTTGCAAAATCTTCAGTCTAACACTGAATAAAAAAGACTAGCCGGTTCAGCCCCATAGAGAATGTGTTTTCACAAATAAAATGGAAAAGAAAATAGATAAGACTATATTTATAGATATAGGAAGAAGTTGTTCTAAACTAAATTATGCTTGAATGTATGTGCTCGTTTTGATCTGTGTGCGTGTAAGCCATAAGGTGCAACAACGATTCATGATTCTAATTAATAATCATTATAATAGGTATCTACAATTATATTTATAATGATAGTCACTTAAATGAGTAACGTTATTCGATGATCATGAAGGTTTTTTGACTAAAGGCTAAGCTTAACCTGGATTAGAAATTTTAAACGTAAGTTATGACTTTCTGGTGAGATTAAAATACAAATCTCTTCATCAGGTACTTTTTAGGTAAAAATAAATTCCCCACGGTCTTATTATTCAAGTAGACATATCTAAGAATAATTATACTTTTTATAAATATTGAAAACTTTTTCATTTCAGCTGATATGAATAGAAATTGGATTTGGAAGAAGGCCTCCTTCATTTATTCGGAAAAATGGACCTACGGGATTCGTAAATTGGCCCAACAGGAAATATAATAATTGTGGATTTCTGCGAAGTACTAGATGCACATACATTCAGCCGCGATATATATTTCCTAAATGCTCTTCTTTAATGTGACGAACAGCATCAGATCTAGAAACAATCAGTTATGAATATATCAACAATACACAAAACCATGAAAGTTGGGTTTCGAGAAGATCCTTAGTTTACAATATTGGACTCATGTCCACTTCGGATATCACAGTGTAATAAAGTGACAAGAAGGTTGATTTCACTTAAAGACAATGGCATATTCCTCATGGTCAGCTTTCAGTTGGCCTTGTTGGAACATTCTTTTTGACTCTGTTCCTGAGTTAATCTCCTTCAACTCCAAAAAAAACATGCTATGCCTTCGTCTGTTACATGGCGAAATATATCGATGCTCCAATTTCTTAATGCGAACACTGCTGGTTACTTACATATAAGAACACATGTAGGCAGATAAGCACACACGCATAGAGGCTCCTAGATTGTCATAAGACTTAAAATATCCAAATCCTTTAATACCCCATGAAAATGCTTAG